GTTAAAAAGCGATATAACTATTGCTAAAACTAAGCATTTAGCTCATCTCAGAGGAAAAATCACAGCCCTAACTAGTTTAGTTGTGATTGCGATTGAAAGTTCATTATCCCGGTTTTTTTTTCGGAATTTCACAAAATTACAAAAAACCCCATGAACTGATTTTAGACCACACATATAGGGGTTCGTTCGATAGGTTTTAGGTCCTCCATCACCTGACTTCCGTCGATCCAATACTAGCTTTACACCCTGTATGTATATCAAAACAAACATTTGTTTAAATCGAAGGAACTTTTGATATTGCACACTATGGGGTTTGGGTCGCTGCTACTATTATTTTGACAGCTTGTAGGTCATCACTTTTGCATAGTTACTATTATTTGTCCAAATGTCCATATTCCATAGTTTGTTGTCATTGAAACGTTTTTCTTTTGTGCTTACAAGGTGTTATTTGCGGTTTTTCCAAAGATACATTTCAAAATATATAAATACCACCTTATTCCTGGGGAGATGGGACCTTTGGTCAATGGGAGGCAACTTAAATTCAGCCGCTAAAAATCATGTAGCAGTTTTATATTTTAAACTGTAATTTCTGCAAAACCGCAAATAGCTCAAGAACTTACTAATTAAACTTCGGAAAAATTTTATACCAGAATAAAGGTAATAAAAAAGATAGCCCGATACCGTAAAACATTCAAGGCATTCCGTTGATTTTTACTTCCCATGCCTACTGACGATTTCCTAAAATCACATATTACGTTTTTACGAGTAGATGTCATACGACATGTTTGTATATCACGAAAAACCGTGTCACTGATTTCCGTCGATCTGTCTGTGGGCCTATCCGCTAATCTTATAACCGCCTATAACTTGAGAGGTTCCGCTTGGATTACTATGAAATCTTTACACAATGTTACTACTATGCCAAAGACGCAAAAGCTTTGTAGGTTTTGAAAATCGGACCAGTAGCGGAATAGAAAAAGCCCAAAAAACGAAAAAGAATAAATTTGCTTAAACTTGAACAACGTAATGTGTGTAGTGTAGATGTTTTATTGTTTTGGAATGGTATAACACGTATTTCTGCGGCAAGTTTGAAGTGATATCTATGCTGTGGCCGCGGTGTCACGTTTGACCGGGTTAGGAATCGTGAAAAGGCGACGTCGCCAGAGGCACTACCGGTATGGCAGGAAAGAATGTCTATATACTAATTGTATAGACCTGTTTGACTATTTTTTTTTTCAGAGGGACAAATTTATGTTGGACATAATCCTTTATGAAGTCATATCTGCGTTGCGTGGGAAACGCGGAGTCAACCTACTTGACGCCATTTTTTTAAAATAGCGTGCATTTTGCGGTTATGAACACGCTGTATAGATGGTGCATAAAACATTTAAATGACAGGAAACTACGGGATATGAAGTCATGTTATATCTCGTTTACTTTTAGCTATACGTTTACATGGACAAAGGATTGCGTTTGGGGAATTAGAATTCAACATGTCGCGATATTCACCAAGTACCATACAAAATGCTCGGACGCGTCGTCGAAAGTTAAATCTCAAAATGGAATAAACGTTGGATGAATGTAGTCACTTCTAATGCTTTTAAAAAAAGTGTATCTAATTCAGTGTTTCTCGTGTGAGCGATCACGCCTCTTTATGGACGTTGGGGATGTGGGGCACCTACGGGGGGTGGTAAGCACTGATACAGATGATCAACCTCGCTGCTCTTCAATTTTCAATTGTCAAAATCACGTCTCGCCTCCAAGTGGTCGGAGGATATAACTTATGCTCTAAATTAATATCCCATTATTTGATCCAATAGCACCAGCACCGGTTTAATTACCAAAGCTAGCAAGTCTTAATGCTCTCCGCACATCCGGATGTTGGCTTTCTAGGCAGCCGCATGTTCGCAAAATGGACAAAAGCAAATGTACCATTTACCTCTAACCGAAACGTAATTGCGAACAGTTAATATGTAATCATGCAAGCTTTAGCAGATTGCGGCTGGACTCAGGAGGATTTTCTTCACCGAGGAAACATATATTCTACAACAACTACTACGAACAAGCTCATTAGGTGCTGTCTAGGGATAGACAAAGGTCACGTCCCCAACAAATTATTAATATGCCACATTTAAGGTTAGGTTTTTCTGAAATTTCTATTAATAAAATTAACTAACCCTAAGAGACATGTACACAAAAAATTGTTGTGATAAATTCATGATCAATCCGTCTTCCTTTTTCTGTGTCACTCACACTTAGTATAAATTTCCCAGTCCTTATGTCGCTGGTATACAGGGTGTCCGCAAAGTTTGGGTTTTCCTTTCCAGAAACAACTACCCTTGAAATAACAAAGGTAATATGTAGTGAAACGAGGGCGACCAAGTAAAAAAAAAATAAAGGAAAAAGTACTCAATCACCAGTTGACGAGAACGGCTAAGTACGTCTCTGCCCGAAATCATACCGCTCCAACAGAAAATGAAATCAGCTGATGCGCTACCGAGCAGACGCAGGCAAACAAGGAAGGCAAAATGTTGCGTAAAAAGTCTAGGTATTGCATCCCGTCCAATCGATTTGGGCGAATAAATGGTCCAATGAGCATACCGTTCACCATACCAGCCCAAACATTCACCGAAAATGTTTGTTGAAAATGTGCCCGACGGACAGCGTGCGGATTTTCTACTGACCAAACATGAGTGTTGCGAAAGTTATTCACCCCATTACGCGTGAACGTAGATTCGTCTGTCACCAATATGCACTTCAAAAAGTCCGGATTATTGTCATGTTGATGCAACAACCACTCACAAAACCGCACTCTTGCTGGAAAATCGTCAGGTTGAAGGGCTTGTACACGTTGGGCATGAAACGGAGCGTTTGCCACACTTTAGTTTTTGATACTTGCACTTCTCTAGCCATGTCTCTAGTGCTTGTTGAGAGATTCTCGTCTACGCGATTACCTCTACGTATATATGCGTGACCGTAACCGTCGGTTGAAGGTTGCATACTGACCTGACACACTGACCCCGACTCAGTTCTGTCGTCGGGTTGAGCTAGTGTCCTAGTATTAGTCGGGGATGTCGCGGCTACAGGACGGTATTCAGATATTTTTGATGTTGCAGAGCCATTTATCTCGGTTCCCTTAAGACATTGGTGTATATGGTACTAAGAAAAATTGCTTATGTTTTCAAGATCTACACGTCGTGTAAAGGAAAACCCCAACTTTGCGGATACCCTGTATTTTGACGATCTTTTTTTGTAATCTTAGTGGAGTTCGATATCCATATCCACACTGAAGATGTTTTTTTTTAACTTCATTTCATAATCTCATAACATGAGTGCCCTGGCACCAGGATGCAGTTTTTTAGGCACTCTTTCTGCCTTGGAAATATTGCCACTATGTTCTGAACCTCGCTATATACTTTTTTCTGATCCAATATCATTTATTTGCACATTTTTATGTAAAAAAGCTCTTACAAATATATCAATGAAAGCACCTATTGATCAAATGTGTGCAGGCGCGAACAAACTGTCAAACGACTGTGACATTTTCTGCTGCAGTTTTTCAGAAATAAGAACGCAGTTATTAAAGTAGTAATTTGTTGTGTGTTTAAGGTTCTTTCCATTTGATCATTATTTCCGACCATATAGATATTTAAGAAGCTTTGTCTTGAACATATAACGTCAGTCGCTTGAGTAAATAAGGAGCATATTATTCAAAATAATAACACTTATCAACTAATACTGTAAATGTTAAAAATGGCATGTCTCTGGATCACAAAGCTAGCCAAACCCGCCGCCCAAAGGGACAATTATCCAGCTTACCCAAATGAGCGCCTGTGTCGCCAGTTGCCAGGTTCGTTTCACCGCATTCACAGACAAATTGCCGCATGACAGGCAAGTACATGACCAAACAACACTAACCTCCCCCCTTAATTACTCATGCCCTTAACAACGACTAACAAGTTCCGACCTCTCAAGCCGGCTCTCAGATACAATGCCGGTTGGCTTTTTTGATTGCAGGATTAACAAACGAATACTTACAGACCGTCTCGAGCTTTATCGTCAGAGAATGATAAAAAGGAGGTAAGGTTAAACGCTTCGTTACTGTAGGTGCTCAATATCTTCCTGCTAGTCCCAGAGACACCCAACTACCTACTTATTCAACAAGCTGTGGGACACTACGTCATTCTTATTGATAATAATTCGGGGTCAAATTTGGTGAGATTTTAGTATATTATCCGCGACAGAATTATGATCAAATCCATCACGCCTTGACGTCTACTGAGGTGAACAGCAGATCAGCATGTTACATTTTTGTGTTAGTCTGCAACGTTGACAATAATGAATCGCGGGTGTAAACGCAGTAAAACTTGTTTGTAGCGTTTTTTTTTGTATGCAAATGCACTTGTCTAAATAAAAGGGCCTTCAGCAAGGACAAAATGAATCTGTAGCGTACAAAAACACAAAACAAAATAAGGCTCTGTCTAGCTGGCATTGACGGATCCGTCAGAATTATGTGTCCTGTGCCGATTTGGGAAATTTTTTTATGTCAATAGATAAATAATTGGCTGTCCTTCTACCGCGATGGATACTCGTGAAATAGTGTATACATACAATTTACTTCTATGAAAAATGCTAGTATGATACCATGATTTCTTTATTCGCTTATTAGGAACAGCGCTATGTTTGAATCTACCACAAAGTGTTGGCTGATTCTTAGCTTCATTTGTTGTTCTTCAAATATCGCCTTCATGTGGAAAAGTGTTTGGGTCTAATAGGCTCAAAATGTAGCGATACCCTCCATGTTAACTTAATCAAAGGCAGAATGTTCCAGTAGATTAAAAAAATATGGTTTCTTCATCAAACATTGTTTTTTTTATTTCCTCTAACCTGATTCCAATCGTCGGTACAACAAACTTCTAGCTTCTCGCTTCATTTTGTTCCGCTTTGTTCCTTACCTACGGAAATACCTAAATATGAACGACTTACTCATTATGTTATAGTTAAGATTCTAACTGCATACATGGAACCTTGTTTGGTTCTTGATATTCATATTCCTGGTATAACAAAAATATAATCCGCATACGAGTTCGTGTCAAGGCACCGAAATATTTACCTTCCCTTTTTTAGAATAACAATGACAAATTAAAATTCTTTATATATAAACCATAAACAAGTTTATGCTTCAGTTACGTTGAAAACACCGGTATATTTTTGTGGTGAGGTTTAAATACTTGTAGCGGTAAGTACCAAAATTTCCTGATTCAAATTGCAGAAAATATGTCTGTTTGAGCAACAATAGTTGACAGCGTATCGAGATACAGAGTTTTAAAATTGTCTTGAAAATCGAGGATAGATCATTTTCATCTGACTACAGTTACACCAGGTGCATGAAAACCGGGACACTTTGACTCCTATAGCAAAAGAACCAAAAATATGTTCTACCATAACCTTAAGCTGCGTGCATTCAACCTTCATTGAAATGCTGCCCACCATTTATAGTGTTTTTTATTTTCCTCTTCAAATTGTATTTGATATGAATTTAAAATATATTGTTTCCACGTGTTTTGATTATTTCAAAAATTTTGTCGAATAACAAAGGGGCACGACCTTGGGAATTTCTTTTATGATGAGACTTTCAATAGTAGTTATACTTCTTCAGGGTATTTACCCCTTGGAATTCAACAATTCGGAGAAAATCTTGTTTAAAAATTCAAAGTCTTATATACTAGTCAGGTTTTTCGAGTGTCAGCTACGAAATAACCTAGTTGGTAATGTATTTGCATGCCGCGTGTACCCTCGAGGTTCTAGCCCAGGACTCGGCTTACCTTTTTTCATTTATGCATTTAATTGTTTTTACAATTGAATAAATTTATTATTTGATAATATCGATAATTTAAATTAATATTATATTATAAATTTAAAATAAAGCTTCAATTATAGTAATTGTACTGTTATTTAAGACATAATGGTTACAATATATATAAATAGTAACTATTACTACTATAAATAAAATCTATGTAAGTTTCCAATTATTTCATACAAAAACGTCATAAAATCTTACCTTGTATACTAACAAACCGGTTTTTTTCAACTATGCACATTATTCATGTAATATCATCTGTCTTTATTGAATGCAAAGAATGGTCCAATAGAATAAGGGACCAATAGGACAACAGACTTTGGTTACAATACAACTTTTTGGCAGTCTTACCACTGTTATCACAGGTCAAAGGACAGCCTGTGGGCCAATTGCGTCAGTTCATTTCTGAACTTGGTTTGGAAATACATTATATAAAATAAATTTTTTTAAATATTTTATAGTGAAAATGTCTTATTTAAATTATAGGTATTATTAAGTAATACATTAATTTAATTGCAAAAACGGTTACCCTTCTAGAGGGTGAATATCAATACAATTAATACACGAAGTCTCATTCCAAAATAAATTCCCAACGTGTCCTTCCCTGTTTTTATGATTCTTTCACTTTCCACGCTTGTATTTTCAGATCCAGGCAAAATGTACTTGCCAGTCTTCATTTGCATTACGTCTGCAATTATGTCAGGTATTTCCTGCAATGACGCCTTATTGCCAATTTATACTCCAGGATATTCCAACGTTTACTACCAAAGAGCTGAACCAAATTCGCCGAAATTTCATTCTATAGAACAAGGTACACACCGCCCTTTTTCATTATATTTTTATACCTTTTCCTAACTGTCCATATACAGTGCAGTCAATTTAGAGTGTCATAGACCATTTAACTGATCTGCGAAAATTAAAAGTTCGTCAATTTTCGCTTGAAAAACAAGATAAATTTTGCTTTGAAATAAACTAACTTTAAAATCAGATTATCAGCTGTTATTTGTAGTCACAATTTGACGTGATGAAGAATCTTAGAAAATAGATAAATCTAAGAGTAATGCGGCAATCATAGGAAATGAAGATTTGTCGACTTCATGTTTTCTTATATCTAATGCGACTGACCTATGGAAGCAAGTAAGACTCGTCGGTACACTTAGAGATGAAAAATGTTCAAGGAAGACGGCAAATATTGTGAATGGTACTCGAAGGCTGTCTGACTTAATGGCTTTATTAAATTGGAGAAAGTGTTTCTCCTTTCAGGAAGGGGCAGAACTCGAACCGTGATGACGTTTTCTGTATAAACGTTTATAACACGTCAACAAAAGCAGTTGGTAGGATTCAGCGTTCTTTCTCGTCTTCCGGATGTATGATGCAGGGAAATCTAATATCAGCTTGAAGAAGTTATATGGATATACGAAAATACTTACGCTACATTTGGCTTAGTCTTTGTATCTGCTTTCCATACCTGTAACAAAATCTATGAGTCAATTAACTATTTTGTTGGCAGTGCCTAACATTACCAAGGTTGGGAGTGTCTGAATTTACTTATATCTAAAAATTAGTGCCCAACCCGAGCCCCCAATTTTATTACCTTCAGAATGTTTTTAAAAAATGATCAGGATCCTCTGAAACGTCAAATAACCAAGCTTAGCGTTTTTTCCTTTTTATCCCTTTTCTCCGCCACAACTGGACCAATTTTCAAAAATTACAAAATATTTTTGCCCTTGGAAAAATCCGAACGGTACTTCTTAAGTTATAGGCGGTTATAGGATTAGCGGACATACAGACAGACAGATAGACAGGAATGACTGACATGATTTTTCGTGATGTGCATGGCACATAACATCCAAAAAACATACCTCATTTTGAAAAACGTACTTATTATACTTCCCCGACTGTAGACGTGGGAATTAAAATCACAATAATATCTAACTAAGAAACTTCGCAGATTTGCAACAGTTTCATTATTCTTATACTACGCTATAATACAGATAATTTGATTTTGCTTTTATTTGAAAGAATCCTTTATAGAACATTGTATGCAATTTGAAGGAAATTTTAAGCTAGAAGTTTAATTTTTCCTGTGAAAATGCACCTCTAGTTAAGATGACGTCACTTCTGTTAGCTGTAGTCATTATTTGAGCTATTAGCGGGTTCTTGAGAGAGACAATAAATAAGAGCTTTCAAACTTTCATATTACAAGAGTCATCTGTACCATAGTCTAGAACCAGAACGGAAAAGAGTGGCAAACACACCATCCAGACTTTCTCACGCGGGGTATCATTGAATAAAATAATCTTCACGCGCAGTCTTTACCAGTACAAAGATATGCCGCAATAGCAGTGACGTGCGATGTGTTATGGTCTTTGATTTTGATAAGATGGAATCTTACGAGACAGAGTGTCAGTTTCTGTTGCCGGAAGGTACTAGAAATTATTAAATCGGTAAAATCTGATTTAGAAAAATGTGCGAAGGTAAAAATAGTTTACAATTTATTCTTCACAATTCACACTTCGCACCGCATAGACTATTGAACGACGTGTTAGGCAGAGCAGTTAACTGACCTTATGACGTCTATTGCAGTTGACCACAACCTCAAATCTCGTGTCATGAGAAGGAGTCACGTCAATGATTATATTATTCATGGATCAAAGTACATTCTGTATCGAGTAACATTTTGCTACTGTTTATTGTTTACACGAATTGTTGGATAATAGAGAAAATTTTTGCAACCTTATTTCCAAATTTCTTAAACGCTTCTTGTATAATTTCCAAAAATAATATTTTCGCATCTTTCAAATTCTGTATTCTAATGAAAATATATATCCAATGGTTATAGGTCAATATCGAGCAGACACAACAGAAGAAACTACAGAGTCCACCACAGAGAGATGTGGATTTTGCGGAGCAGACAAACTGAATCCTTCTCTTGATTCAAATGACAGTGACGCAACTACCGAAGTAGACACTGAGGTATTCAAGAAGATTGATCCCCAAACCAAGGCTGATTTTGAGTTGGAAGAGGAGTTTGAGGGAAACAAAAAGGTAAATATAAGCAATATGAAGCACCTGATGCTTATGTCGTTTTATTTATTCCGACTAAACAGACTAAACCCTTTTATGTTTTCCTTTGTCAACCAATAACTCTATATCTTACAATAAATTTGACTAGTTTATACGATTAAGCCAAATCAAAGCTGCAACTCAACCTCGCAAGACTAGCTTTATATCCGACTGAATATTTTTGACAAAAGTATCCGTCTTTTTCTGTTCTGAGAAGGAAACTCCTACTCTGTCAGGATTCATATCCTTCTATAGTTGCTTTTAGTGGCATTCCTTCAATATGATGAAAAAGATTCAAGTCGTGAAAGAAGATACAAAATGAATATCTTGTATTTTCAGATTGCTCAGAGACCAATTCTCAAGGAACAGGGCATTTACTATGTCTACCATCCAAGTGGGCTGCTTCAAAGGGTGGTATTCACTACAGCTGGTGACGCACACAATCAGGAATTCTTCACGAAAGTGAAATATCAGAATGTTGAACCAATCACTGCGCCTGTTTATACGTACAGTCCAAACAATTTTGTACTACAAAGACTGCAATTGGTATAATAGATATGACTTACAGTGTTAAGTGATGATTTTATATTTAATAATAATAAATATATTCGTATGAATTGTTATAGTTGTACTAAGAATACACAAGCGAATGTCACATGCTCAGCATTTACTGTGTTCCGTACTATCCGTATTTACTGGTAACTCCATCAGTGTCAGTGTATTTCACGTATACTTTTAAAACAATACTCACTGACGTCCAGGCTACACTGTCAACAAATTTCACAAAGCAAGGTAAATACGGACGGATCACAGTAAATGGAGTCATACAGTGAATACTGATGGTGCGAAATTCTCCTAACGATTGCTAAAAAAAATTTACTCTGAAATAAGAATGATTATATTTCGTACAAATGGTCTAGCAAGTATAATTCAGATTCTAACATTTTGGCCCCTAGTCTCTGGAATGTTCCTCATTCTTTAATTTTCTGAAGAGATTTGGGTACATGTTTTTTTTACTCGAGCAACCATGAAGGCAAGGCATATAGGCCTGAGAATCGTAATTACTATAACGAATAGTCTGTAAATGAAGGTTGGAGATGCGGTACCATCCTCGATGCATAAGGTACTGCGAGGTACTTCTGACAGTCACGCACAATGGAAATCAGTAGGTAACTAGAAGAGTCTCTCTAGCATACTAAAAATCTAACGGCACCTTGAAGAGCAGGAAAGATCCCCTAGCTCTCAGAAGTCTTAGCAACTGAACAACAATATAGCAGAGCTGGGTGATCTATTAGAACCGCAATGTCTCTATATTTGATGACGTACAGGACCGGTGTTTAGAAGTATCCACTGAATGCTGCCATGTGCCTGCGACCCTGCGTCTTCACGATACTTTCGAATTACCTGTATAATCACCATAACACAGCTATTCCATGGCAGAAGAATTCGTTGAAGTTCTGATCTTGTCTCTCCGACTCATTTTATTTAGTTTTATTCTTATATTTCTTAACAGACACAAGATCCAATTACAGAGAAACTCTATATTTTTGCAGAGATTGGTTTTTAAATAGAGAGTGGGTCATTAATAAATTACGTCGGCTCTGCCTGAGCAACTTGGAGCTATTGGTTAAAAAAATTCATAATGAAGTGGCCTGTAAATTACTTTCCGCTTGCTGCAGTGTCCGCTAGGGGCGTAATTATAGCCTCAAAAATACAATAGACGTTTTTTCACAAATGTCCAGAAGTGACATCTACCTAAAACGGCTTTTTGAATAGTATACGTAAATTGTGAACCTTTTTGTCAACGTCGTTTTTTTAAATCGATTGGTCTAGTCAGGGGAAGGACAAATGCAGTTTCTGAAAATTTAATGTAAATTCTAACTGGTCTTATTGATTTCCATGGTTTTGGTTTCAGTTGTTACTGTTGCTAAATAATAAAAGAAACATTACCATTGTGTTTGAAACTGTGTGAAACGAGGTGGTTTTGTCACTGAGCGCCACCTCACTGCTTAAAATAGAAATAAGCTGACAAAACTTCACTACTACCAGGAACGACCATTTATACTACACTTTTCTGAAATGGCCTTGAACCGTTTCCTATTTCTAATTAGCTTGATTTACCAAGAAATGACGTTGACAAAAAAAGTTGATGAACGTGTGATATATACTAGGCAAAAAATGTTTTGTTAATCAATAATTATTATGTTAGTTATCGATATTTCCGAAAAAACTACATTTCTGTTTTTGAGGTTATAGTTACGCCGCCTATAGGGCATTCTTAGGAATTTGAAAATAGTTTCTAGCAATTTATCTTGGCCGCTTTTCTCATAAATTTACTTATAGCTCTAGGTACAGGGAGTATATAACTCCCAATTGAGCATTCATCACAGGTTTTTGATTTCCGACATGTGAAAGGTATGCCTTAAAAAGAGATCGGTCACTTCATTTCAAAAGTATTTATTGTCAAATACTTAAATGCGCCTGTCGTACTCAATAGTAAAATCCTCAAAAAGTAGTTTTTGTAGATTAAAGTCAAACCAATCAATCTTTGTGCAATCCGCTATCTATTTTATTCAGTATATATATATATATCTCCATGCCGCTGTCCAAACTACAAAAAAACAATTGAGATACACTGACACGACCATCAATTCCGAGTAGTTTTTCACATGCGCGCACCAGTCAATGGCAAGCGCACACGCTCCTAAATCTCAGTCTCGATTTACATTTTCGATCGAGTACTAAAAGTCTGTGAGTTATTCATTTAGAACAGTCAAACATGGTTCTTATTTCGAACAAACACTTCGATATACATCCAAGTTAGGCAAAGCTGGAATGCCGAAAAATAAATAGTTTTGATTATACGAATTTCATATTAACTAATAAGTCAAACTGGGGAAACCCCTTCTGGTTGACTGTTTCGCATCTTTGACATCTGAGAAATGGGGTATACTTGTAGTCTCCGCTCCTGGCGGGTCAAAGTAAGACTACCAGTATCCCTTTATATATCTCCATCTCCCTCATTCATACACATGCAACCTACCCCTGGGTGTGAACGTTTGTTCGGTAAGCTCAAAGACATACTCTTAGTTGTGTTTCTCCGTCTCAGAAACTGTGTCGTTACATATGAGTGCCCTTCAATCATATTTGTCCGAGTGACAGCTTACTTACCATATCTGCCTACAATTCGAGTTGCCCTGCTGTCAATCTTCAATATAAAATTGTACAAAGTCCGGAAATACGATCAATGGAGAAGGCCGACAGCTCAAGATAAATTTATAAGAGTTCTTTCAGGAAGAGTAGTATATCCTTTTAATGGTAAGGGCTGCGTCTACAGGCTATCAAAAATATAAAAAGAATAGTTGCATGGATATGCTCGAGCGCTTCAGATATTGAAATTGCACACTGATAATAGAAGTATGATAATCTGCTGGCTTGTACGGGGTGAGTCATTGATAAAGGACGCCGGCTGTATCTCGGTAACTAGTCAACCTGGAGTTGTCGATTGAAAAATGTTATAACAAAAATGACCAAGAGAAATTGCTGGAAATTATTTTCAGCCTCTTAAAGTGGTCGCTGGGGGCGTAACCCTAATCTCATAATTGTAGGTACCGTTTTCTCGAAAATTCATATACAATGGCATTATTATTTTTTATAATTCAAGAAGTGCATGAAAAATCCTAGAAACTAGTGGAAACCGCATGTTGTTATCTGCATTCGTTGTTTTTTTTATACTCCAACTTCCACGAAGGCCTAAACACCCATTGGGTACCGTTGGGCTATAGTGAGATACAGGGGAAAGGGGGAGGACGCCACACGGACTCTGGCGAGGAAACACGTGTGCAACATGCACACATTCTGGCTCCGCCTACGAGATCTGCCGGGTGGGTACCTCCACGTTCGACAGTCAGAGACCGTCTACCACCTACGGCAATCACGACATGCATAGCCAAGAGAAAAATTTCTCCTGGGACGGGACTCGAACCCGCACAGCGCACGGCGACTGATCAGGAGACCGAAGAGTCTACAACTGCGGCTGCCGCTGCGTTATAAAGCTTATTCAGGTTTGTAGTCTCCAACTCCTTTACGTCTATCCTAGATGTACCCTACTGTACAAAAGGCTCATATATGCAAGGTAGCCATCCTTATTTTAATCTGGCGCCCCGAATATATCCCAAAATCCCCTACTGGGCGGCTCCCCAACTATTTGATCGGTTATACTTCTATAAATTTTTTACCTGAAATAATAAAAATCGGAGCTAAACTGTGCGAAACTCCATCTTGTTCCATTTGGACTGCACCAATTTTCCACAGCTAGCAGCCTTATATAACTATGTGTGTTCTTTTATGTAACAGATAATCCCAGAAGTGCGCTATAAATAAGGACAATCTTCATTTGGATGCGGGAGAGTGAGGATAGGATAGGGAGCCACAGAGGCGATCGAAATGCATCTGGATAATCAGGAAACTGAGGCCTGGAGTGCTCGATAGAAGCGGTATCGCTTAGGGGTTTACGGTATTTGCATTTTCGATAATTCCTTAGATCGACGACGACCACACAAACGGATGGGGCGATTTCTATTGATATCAATTTACAATTAATAGAACCTTCGAACGCTGAAGGTGAATTCCTGTAAACATAAATAGCTTTAATAGCTTTGTATCCCTTACTGATGCGTATGGTACATACACTGAGAACCAAATTTGTTTGGCAGCGAGTTCAATGTTTACGAGAGAGAAGTGTGTATAGACACATACGTTAGAAAGAGATAGAAGACGCCGGGATAGCGAAGTTCATCACCCCGTTGAATAGCAGCGCTGACCCGACAATCTGCCATGTTTCCATTATGTTACACCAGTTCCTTGAATTAAGATGCATATTGAACATATGCGTTAGTTTATTCTTTACGCCCAAATGATGGTTTTATTTTAAGCGCACACATTTCTGGATCGTGAATTATATCAAATCCGTTTCGGATTGATTCCCGGTCGGTCCCTATTTTAGATCGAAATGAAAGGTCAAAATCGACAAATTCTGGAAAATAATATCATTGGCTCGTCTAATAACACCGCACCTTATACATTTCGAGGCAAAGTTTCCACCTCCATGATCACAGATTAGCGAGTCTAGTCAGTACCCACTTAGCACTCGTAGGAGAATGTCGTCCTACTTCAAAATGGCTTTCACCTACATACACGGAGACAGTGATAATTTGTATTGTGAGACGTTATTAGTTATATTTTCCGACCACAGCGCTGTCGCAAAATGTAACAGTAACTAAGGATTTGTTGATTTTATCACCATCGGTAAAAATCAAAGATAATTCGTAAATAAATTAAAACACTTAAGTGGCATCGAAATTGAAATAAGCATTTCTAATCAAAATGAAACTTAAATATTAAATTAAATGTTCGAACAGACCTCCTTCTTGAGTTTGGCAGTAACCCAACCTATGGCCTAAGCCTAAGCGAACACTGATGGATGACAATGACGATGGAAAAACTGTGTAGCACGTGCCTGAAATGAATAAGGACCTGAGATAAGTAGAGAAAGTGTACCTCCCTTGGTCATATATTATAAAGACTATAAAGAAGGACGAATAAGTCAGTAATTATGACGATCCT